TCTAATGTTTCGCAATTTTCGTCCAAGTAGCCCTTTAATTTTATACACTGTTCCATATGACATTGTCGTCAACCAGAATGCAAACACTAAAACAATGAAAAACATTAGTATTTATATGTGATAAACTATGTTGAAATATCCAAATTTCTTTTGTTTTCTATGTCCACTATAATTTGCTATCTAGCACCATTTGGTCAGTACTTTTTCACGCCTTTCTGCTAAGCAAATACGGAGGCCAGGAAGATGATGTACCAATAACCATACCAGAAGTCTGTTTCATACTTTAACGCGATATTAAAATCTTTTCAGTTTTTGATAAARCGAGGCTCCGATCTAGTGGATATCATGTTGATGAAACTCACACGGCAAAGTGTCCAGTTTAACCGTGCAATCTGTGCACAATATGACCAGATTGTGATACGAATTACAACTTCAGCCAAGACCACYGACGAACTCGTTGACCTGGAAAACTACATTGAGCAACTGCGAAGCGGAGCTTTACTGAAGCTAAAGGTATCTTTGGTTGAAATTCCCGTGAAGAACACACTTCATAAGCTCAAAATCAAGGCGGTTTTAATTCTCGTGTCTTCTTTGCCCATATAAGGAATTGTACTTACCATATTTGGATATTGGAATACATTTTCTTCACTAAAAACCTTATTTTCTTAAAAAAAAACTGCTTTTTCTTACTGTGAATCGAGTGAAAACATACTAAAACGCATGTTATGGACACTAGTATATCGTAAACAACTATATTTATTACGGACCCTTTAACACTTTGATTCTTTCATGATTTCTTTCAGACGGACCTCGAAGAGGCTGCTGATCTATTGATGTTTTTGATGGATCACACRTTTTTGACGGACGATCACCTTAAGCTGAACGAAACGACGTTTACTTGGCCTGAGCGTATTCTACCAATGGTGGAGTTGAGGTACGACGCTAGTCTCTCTCGATTTTCGTTTGTAGATCCAGCTCTTTACGGTACTATTAGCATTCAAACTACCCGGGACAAGTTATTTATTTATTTAATTTGCACTCAAACAAGCCTAAACCCTTTAAGGCCTGGTTTTCAATAGCGAAGCGAACACAAGCACAGACAGAGTTAGCACAAAGGCTAAGTAAAAACTAGTCCTCGATAAGCGCAAATTGTTAATCGAATTCAATCACTTTGAATACGTCTTAGGTCGAGGAAGACTGGTCAAATAAGGTTTGCAATTTGCTTGATTAGTCACACGTAATCAGTTTACCACTGTTGCGCTTGCTTACGTTTTCTCTAATAAGACCAAGCACTAAAAAGTAGAATTTTCYAATATCTTGATTAAACACTTAGGTGAGTTGTTTTCACTACAAAATAAGACATCTTGCGTTTGCGCTTGCGTCTGCTCTTACGCTTTGGTCGCTAATGAAAAGTAGGCTTAACTCGTAGGTTAACTCGACAGCAAAACTCCTTACGGTTAGGTTAACTTTATTTTTATTTCAATTGCCGGATCTCATTGATCGTGACAGATCCAATCGAGGCTCCAATGTAAAATCAATCTTGCAGTCATTGAATCATTATTACAGCTCCTCATACAAGTGTTATTATTTCAGTGAAAACCGCATTCAACGCGAGCATGATACTGCAGTCCACAAAATGTTTGACTGGCTCACCAAGTTTGAAAAACAACTGAATGAAACTTTGCTGAGCATCAAGGAATTCTACACCAAGGACAGACTCTCTGAATCGAAAACCTATCTAGGACARCTAGACGAACTTCAGAATAAAGTGTTGGAATTTCTTGAAGAGGTACATGTAGATATAGTGACTTTGATATACAAACTATGACATTTTTCATTCTAATACGTTTATGTAGCGTTTTTGCCATTTCCAAGAACGGATGATAATACAAAAACGCAATAAAAACGCTACAGCGTGGAAGATGCAAAATGCGGTTCCCGTAGTGCAGTAATGATTTCTGTCAATACTTCTCCAATTTCTCTGGCTAGCAACCTGAATTACGTTTTGTTGCATTTAGAGTGCGCGCACTTAATCCGTGAAATAGTGATTATTTCACGGATTGAGTGCGAGAACGCTATATGAAATTCTCTATGACTCATGATTGTATTTCTATCGTAGCGTAAACGGATCAATAAAGAGGAAGAGTTACTTGGCCAAGAAATGAGAAGCCCATTTCCTCAAATCCAGGAAATCATCGACGGGAAAGAACCGTTTGATAAGCTATGGAGAGCTGTGGTGAAGTTTCACAGCAGACAAGAGCAATGGCTTAGTGGCCCATTATTGACACTTAACGCAGAGGAAATCGAAGAAGAGGTATGCAATAGTTAATATGTACTAATCTTGTCAGCCTGATGATCGCGATGAACGCATGAAACTCGGAGTAACCAAGTCCCATTATCTTAACACAAATGTATTAATAGCTAAAAGAATAAATAAAAATTCGCACATTTTATTGTTTTGATTGACTTGAGTGGAGAAAAGTTGAACAAGGCCGGTATATTCGTAAATACCAGTTTTGGATTAAATATCTTGCTTAGAAAAAAGTCATTTCAAAAGAGTGCAATTTAGAAAATGCAACATTAAGGTGTAACCTTACTCCTTCAGCTCATCAGATTGCAGTAAACAATAGAAAAATGAATTACAATGAGACTTCTCAACCTTTTACGTCGCTACTTGATTTTCACTGCATTGTGGGATCAGGTTATAGAAAAAACAAAAGAAATCCGCCATTTTTGTCCCAAACATATCCTACAATGCAATGCAGTGCATATTGGATGTGAGAATTCTAATATTGTTTTATATTAAAATGTTATTGGGATTAAAGTGATACTCAATTTACGAATTCTCCAATGGTCTGTGTCAGCCTAATTTGCGGACAAAATATTCCTAATTGGGAGAATAAAAGTGTAAGATCAAATCAATGTTATTGTCTTTCTTCACAAAGTCCATGCGTTTCCTCGAGCTATATCAATGAAACAAATGAATATGTTGCTTGAGGCCAACGCAGAGAGTTAATATGGGAAAAAACGGGAGATTTAAAAGGTGGTCGCTTACGGGAGATGTTCGCTTACGAGAGTGGTCGTTCAAGGAGAGTCAACTGTATTTCATCTATAATTATTTGAAAAATTGTTTTCTTTTGTATAGGTGTCAGAATTATGGCGCACAAGCTACAAACTAACCAAAGAGTTTGCGCATCCTGAGTTCCGTGGTCCTTTGCGCGTTGCGTCCACCGTGAAAGCGAGACTGGAAAACTTTAAAATCAACATGCCTTTGATCAATGCATTGTGTACACCAGGGATTAAGAACAGACACTGGGATATGATGAGTATGAAGGTAAATTCAATCTACTGCTTGTTTATTTAATGATCATTTTTGAAACACCTTCCGAAAAACACATCTTCCGTGATGGTGATCCCAGGCGCTTAGCGTGGGCTTTTTAGCTACTACGCACATGTCAGGGACCGCGACACATTTTGGATCTCGGGGTCTAACGAGTCTGGACCTCCCCCAGGAAATTTTGAAATAATAACTCTTGGAAATGCGATTTCCAGCGTTTTGAGAGACATCGAGGGCATATACAAGGGATCAATTTTATGTGAATTTTTCAGTAATTTTTGTGAATATTTTGTTAATACATTAGAGCTGTTCGCCTATGAAAAGGGCTTTCCTGAAATTGAACAAATATATAACATTATAAAGGACGAGCAATAGTTTCATAGTTTTGATTGTACTCGTTTACTGTTTTTTAAGC